AAGCCAATGCAGCCGAAGTTACTCTGCCGGGGCACTATTATACGATATTTATCTATATTAAACTTAAAATAAATTATTTTAATAAGTATATTTACTATTAAAGCAAAAATTTCTAATTTTGAAGGCTTACAATCAAACATACGCACCATACGAAGGAAAGATAGTTTATTTCTGCCTTTCTGAAGTACAAAAAGCCGAGGAACTGTAAAATTAAAATCATCAGATCCACATACCCCTCCTCTAATTGATCCTAACTATTTTTCTCATCCACAAGATTTGGAAGATGTGGTGGAAGGTGATTACTTTGTCTTACTTTTATGTCTCTTTGCATGTTAATTTTAATTATATTTATTAGTAGAACTAAATATTCTCTTATTACGCAACATTAATAAAAATTGCAATGATTTAGTTTGGGAAATTTGAAGGTATATTTAAGCGTGCGCATAAATATTTGAATGCATGCGTAAAGAATATTTTTTATATCAAGCTATACGTGTCATATCTATAAGTAATCGTGTAATATAAAATAAATAATAAATATGTAAGAATGAAATATCTTGTAATATGTCATATCGATCTTTATCTGTCCTGTTGTGCTTCTTCAAATTTTATATTTGACAAAATAGAAGCTAAGCCGATAAAAAAATAATGATAAAATCTGATGATTATATATACATATTCAGAAATAAACACTTTCTAAAACAAAATGTTCTAAAAGTTCAAAATGGTAAATTTTCCCTACTTCAATTTTATATACTTCTGCTTTCTGAAAAATTGTAACTTTTGATAATTTCGGCTATAATGTTTTCTGAGAATTTTGTTTTACACGCGTTATGAATTAATTAAAATAGTTAAAAAATGCTTACTCGTTATTAGCTTTCATTCCTATATAAGACAGAAAAGCCTTATTTTATCCTATTACGTATCAAAATTAAGAAAATGTTAATTTTATTTCCTTATAAGATATTTTTGGTAATTTTTTAACCTATTTTGTGAGTTTTGACTTCATGAATAATTATAATTAGGAATAAAGACTTGCCAAAAGCATTCAGAAACTGAAGCCATGAAATCTATTGGGTCAAAGTTTCTTCGTACTGCATATCCTGGTTGCGAGAATTTTGAAAATTTTTCAGATGATTATTACCGCTGTCATGCAAGATCAGTTCTATTAACACAAAGTCATCAAGTCGGGACTGCGAAAATGGGAGACGAAAATGATCCATCGACTGTAGTTGATCCAGAATTACGGTATTTTTTGTTCCCTTTTAAGCTACTGTTAAGCCCTGTGTAGTTTTCTCAGTTAATTTATTAAACTCTAAATAATAAAATATCCACATTGGGTAACTATTATGCTGTGAAAAGTGCCAAAATTAACTTATTAGAACAGGAAAACTAGGATTTAAAAATGACATTCAGAAAAAAAATCCCGGTAGCTATTTAGTACCTTCCTCTTTGTGAAAAATATTTGCATGACCTCGTGCATTGGGTTTTAGAGAGAGAAAAGAAGGATTAATGGTGAATTGGAGGAGAAATTTGAACTTGGCTATCTAAGTAAATAATGTATTGTTTCCTTTATATATCGAATTCTTAATATTTAATTGAACCATAAAAATATGAGATGATCGAACGAAGGGTTTCGAAGTTATGATAAACAAAAAAGTGCAATTTTAGTATTGTATCTATTTGCACATCTGACTTTGAGATGCAAGGTATTTTTTTTAAATATGAAACAGGGGAGCATTTTGTTTCTCCTAATACATGAGATATTTTAATTGATATTGCATATTTTCGAGTCGCTGACTTCAAATCTGCAATCTTCCATTTTTATCAAAATGTTCCAGATTGAAAAACAGATAACCAAAGGGTCGCGTAAATGTTGCGACAAACTTCGAAGGGAGTTAGGGCACATAATCAGGATTAAAATTGTACAGGAATCTATGCTAGAAAATATCACCATACGCTGTTGGAGACACTTCCCAATTGTGTTATTGCTACTTCCTGTGCTTCTGAACAGGTCATAATAAGGAATCGTCACCAGCCGTGTATGACATTTCCAGGAATGGGTTTTTATACAATTTTAATCCTGATGATGTGCAATAAATCCCCTATAACCCTATAAGTTTGTCGCAACATTTGCATGATCCCGATAATATATTCATATATATATATATACTTCACTCAGCTTCAAACGGTAAAATATTTATTTCAATAATTCATTTAATTGTCAACTGTTGTGTTACTTAATTTTTACTACTGGGTTGCAATACTTGGGAGGTGCATCTCTCATTAAGTAGGAAACGACAAATTTTTTAAAACACCAAAAATCTGTTAATTATGAGAAAATTAATGTTTTAATACCATGTCTATGAATTTTAATAATTTTCTGAAGGAAAAAATATCATTTTTAGTGGTAAATTAATCATTCTTAAACTTTTACAAGTAACAAAAGTNTATATTTATATATATATATACATTATTCATGCAAACATACAAAGGGTTAGGAGTTTTCCTCTCTTCCGGAACATACGTTACCATTTGCTATGCACGTCTATCAGGTGTTACTTAAAAAATAAATATATTTTCATCATTGCTATTAATTTTTCATGTTTTTAGTAGTTTGAAAATCATTTTTCAAGCTACTTTATATAATTTATGTACTACTGTAGATTAAAGTGTTCATGCAAATAAAATTATTTCTTACAATTTCGCAACTTCATTGTGAATTTTGAAAAAAGATCTCCATGTTTTGAAACTTGAACATTTCAACAAAAAATGGACTAAAACATTATTTAACCCACTGATGATTTTGCACGTAAAACGTAGTATTTTAATCAGCAATCTTTTTCCAGTAGCAAAACCCCTTTTCTCATGTTATTAGATAGGAGGAAATAATGCATAGGGGAATTCCAATTTTCCCCATTTGCTACATTACTTGTGGGCTAAAAAATATGTAGCTTTTTAGGAGCAAAACTAATTTCATACTTGAAATCCCCAAACCCGAATTAAGCTAGATTAAATATTTGTATAAATGCAACAATTATTTGTATTAGAGCACGATTTTATTGGACAACTTTTTTTGGAAGTTGCAAGGTATTTCTTATATTAAAAGTATTTTTCTCTCGTGACTTATTCATTTTTCACATTGTTTCGATCTATACAAGTGGAATACTGTTTCTTGTGAATTAGTTTACGCAGATTTGAATTACACCAAATTCAAGTTTTTTGGGTAAACATTTTATTGTAAAATTCATGTTAGTGCAGGACGAAAATAGTTATTTTGTACATAGAAATCATTGTAACTCCTATACTGTTTATCCTATTGACTTGTGCTTAGTACCGTTCAATTGAACAGAAAATAAACTAATAAGCAAAGAAGCAATGTTGCTCTGACAGAAACTAGATGACTATATTAAAAGTGTAAATATGTACAAGTTTAAAATGGAATTTGAATGCATAAAAATTTCAACAACTTCTGAACTATCAATTCTATTTGATTGTATTTCATCTTATTCTATTGAGAACGGAAAGATACGTAGAAAACTTCATTTTTCTAGATGTGTAAATAGGTAAAAGGCAAGCACTGTTATATTTTATGCATAAAATCCCTATAACTTTTAAACTATTAGTTAAATTATCTCGCACTTTGTCTCAACTGATTCATCGTACAAATGCTCATCGAAAAGATAAACAATCTAAATTTCAACACCCATTTACTCCTTATCCCACCCGTCAAAATCCAACATGCGAATACCTGCAATTTCATGTCACTTAAGAGAATAAAGTTTGACAGTTTGCCCCTGAATAAGTTCTTTTATTGTTTAAGGTGAGGATGGGATTATCTATTTTTATTTTTTTCTGTATTGTATGAGCTAGCTCTCTAAAAACACAGTTCATTATCATGATAGTGTACTTGCTTTATTGCTTGTATATCTATTTTAAACTAAAATTATCAAGTCAACTCATATTGTGTTAAATAAAGATATTTATATAATTCACAGATGAATGCATGGCATTTTTAGAACGTTTGGTAATTCTGTAAAAAGGGTTAAAACATTCTGTATGTGCTTGAAGATACATAGTTGTTATTTTTAGACCTTTTAAACATAAAAAAGTTTTTGCATACTCTGTGTGATTAAGATAAACTACTTTGCAAAGTAGGAAATATAACGCAGAAACAAAAATAATTTGTATAACCTGCTACTTTATACTGGCTTTTCTTTATCAATAGAATAATAGTTTAATTTTGTCCAATGTATCAATTATAAAAGTAAGCAGAAAGAACTAAATAGTTTTTTTTTCTCAAATCACGAAATTTGCATAATTTCTATACCTACTTACAAATTTAAATCAACTATCAACTAAATTTTGCTAACACATACTTTTCATGTTTAAAATAATTTAAACGCAAAGAAATCTCAATTCATATTTTAGAACATGTTTAGTGCATGTTTTTATTGTTTAACTGTGATACTCATGGGAATAAATCGTTTAAGTCTTTGATTACGATTAAAATTACATATACATTGCATCGCGAAATGATTATTTCATAATACTTCTTTTATTTGTATTAAAAGAAAATACTTAACTGTTGTTCACTATAATTACGATTTTATTTTCAGTGTGAAGGGCATAAAAGGATTAAGAGTTGTGGATGCATCTGTAATGCCAATTGTTCCTTCTGGAAACACGAACATTCCTACAATCATGATTGCAGAAAAAGCTTCTGATATAATTAAAAGAACTATTAAAAAAACTGAAACCAGATCTTTTTCATGGGTTTCGTTTTAGAAGTGTTGTTTTTTAAAGTTCTTTTAGCAACGAAGATAAATTCATAGTTCTTTTTAAAAACTATATGTATGTCTTACTATCGTTTAAAATAAAATAAAAGCGTTAAAAAAAAGTTACCCATTGTCATAGTCATTAATTTTTCGCAGCGTTTATTTCTACAAATTTCAAACAAAATTACTTTATCACGAAACATTTATACTCCTGTTGCCACACTCATAGTGGGAAAGTGAGCAAGTCAAAAATTTGCGAAAATGGACAGCGCGCAAAATAAAAAATGGACAACCCTGAATAACTTTTGATCTAATAATTGGATCTTCACCTTCTAGTACTCAATCGTAATGGTTCAAGGGATTGACCTCAAATATACTAATTAATTAATGGATACGATATTTTAACTTACGAAATCTGACACGAAAACTTACTTCACAAACTACTGACTCAAAAACTCTGAATTTACATACCTTTTTTGAAGGATCGGATTCGGATTTCTGACCCGATTGGATTTCTGATTCAATCTATCGGTTGCTTGTAAAATATACCATTATATACCAATTATTTAAAAAGAAATGGCAAATAAAAGGTAGAAACATAATATATGAAGATATTTTTTTATTTAAATAATTTTAGTGAATAAAACAGATTAACAAATGTAATTTTTTTCTCGAAAATTTCGAATTAAAAAAGTTTTGCTCCCTTATCCACTTAAATTACATTTTTAAAAAGCTGCACTATACATTTATTTGATTAAATTCCCATTTTTAGACTACATTCAACTTTAACTATAAAAATTCAACCACTGTTAATTTTCTAAAAATAAATACTGCTCAACTGTCAGTTGTCAGCCACGAATATCAATTTCGAGACCAACGATGTTGTATCAATCTTTTCAACAATGAGAGCCGAATGCCTTAAAAACAGGAAATGAGTTAAATTACATAAGTTCTTGGTCAAATGCATATTAACGATAATCTCGTTAATGGGTACGATACCAGTGTTTCAATGTGTATATCTTAAAATGGGCATAGTTAATAGTTTCTTTATTAACTAACTATTTATTTTGCAGGATGTTGTCTATCACGGCTTTGGCTGAGATATGCTATTTGCAATTACACTATGCCTTTATCAGTTTGTCTGAATGGAAAGCTCTTTCTCTGATCGTGCTTCAATTTCCACTACACACTATTAAAATTAACATTCTAAAATTATGTTAAAATAACCAGCAGCAGTTTCTCCATCCGATTAACCACAAAGTTTACGCTTAAGAACAATTTTTTTTATCTTTACGGTTTTGAAACCATTTACAAATAATGAGGTTTCAAAACCTTAGAAATTTTTTTAACAGGACTTTGGTGATAGTTTAGCAACTTTATGGTGCTGTCATCGATGCGTGAATGAGAGTTAGATATTATAACAGCCCAGGAGCACAAATTGGGGAATGCAGCATACTGGATACTCTTGATGTGGTGAAGGGAATGGACGAAATATTGCTGCGTCAATGCTGGGGTTCGAATCCCCGTGCGGTCCGTCATGAGATTGACAGATTAGCCTTTTCGGCTATAATATGTACCCATCTGCAAGTTACTAAGTGGCTTCATTAGATGGGTCCAGTCGGTGCAATAAAATTCTGGTTATTTAACCGTATAAGGTGAAAGCAGTTAATGACCGGTTTTTCTCACTGTTAAGAGCTTGAATACCTTATTAGTTATGATTATGTGACTGTTATGTTCGAAAATAATAAAACAACAATTATATAACTTGTCAGTTAAGAAATTTCTAATAATGTAATGTTTCCGGTTAAAAATCTTAAAGGTTTTTTATGTTACTGAGTTCATGTGGAGAAGAAAAAAGCCTGGTAAAACTACCGTACTGTATATTTATGACATTTCTGGCAACAACAAAAAAACTTCTTATTTCCATATTACCTATTATATTTAAACCAAAATATAAGGTATTTACACCATTCAGTTGATAGACTTTTCGTTCATATAGTAACGATTTTCCGGAATCAAGATCCAGAAAAGGAATCCCGACCACTGTTTCGTTTTTAGGAGCGAGCTTATCGCCATCGATGATGGACTTGCCTCAATACTATCTCTTTCAATTCCGAAAGAGATTTGAATCCTTACCGACAGTAGAAGCGCGGTTCAGCACTTGGCTAGCTGGCACAGAATGAGGGACAATACTAGCACGAACATCCTTTGCACACTTTTACACCTCTCCAAATATTGTCGAATTCATGTACAATGGATACCCTCACACGTAGATATATCAGGCAATGATATGGCAGATTATCTTGCCAAGGCAGGTGCAGCTGAGGCCACTGCGCCTCCAGTGTCTCTTACATCCTCAGAGCTCTTCTCCATTGCTAAAGCCAAAAATCAATCAGCATGGCTCACTCCACCCAGTCACAATTGGTACCAGGGTACCAGACCGGGTAGCTGTTTGACAGCTGACAAAGACCGTCAGTCGCAAACCGCCATCACACGTCTCCGCTGTGGACACCTGAAATCACTGAGGTACTCTGGAGGAGAAAAGTGCTTTGTTCTCTGTACCAAGTGCTCTTCGGTCCAGGCATCCCCTGAACATCTACTGTATTGCCTCGGTCTTTTAAAACAAGACCTTATAAAAAGACCCTTTCTTGTTTTAGACTTTTTGAAGGTGAACAATCTCATGGACCTTGTCTAGCTAGGCTAGAAATGGGGATTTGAAAGAAGAAGAAAGACGATTTTCCGGAAATTCTGGTTTTCAAACTTATTGTTCATATTACAATGTATACAAGTATACAAGATTGAAATATAAATTCAACTTAATGAATGGTTTTTATGTCATGCTCTATAGTATCGATAGAAAATTACGTGATTCTACCACTTAGTAAATTTTATCACATATTATAAAACCATATTTCATAGGTAATTTTAACAAAAATCATAACCGAAGCGCTTTGGTAAAAAAAATTACCTTGAATTTTGTTGTTCCCATAGAACAAAATACTCGGTAATTTTGATTATTTTTTAATCATGCACATTAATTTTGTTGTTTTTTATTTTATTTTTTTTTTCATAAATTTTTTTTTTCCATTTTATTATTTTTTGCATTTTTACAGAATCTATCTATTTTTTCTTAAAACTCTTGATGAATAACTTTCAGAAGATTTTCACGTAAAACTTTTTCCTACATTGTTGTGATTGAACTCCAGTTCTTCACAATAATAGCTTATTTCCTTATACAGTGCTGCTGCAACTATGTCAATCATCTAATCTTAATCAACCATCTGATTGAACTTTTCGTTGTTCACATAACAAAGGAAAATAAATTAAAGTTAATATTAAGGAATTAAAATAATTATTATTCAGATTTTTTACTAATGACAGTGAAGTTAAAATAAACACCCGATAGTATAGCAAATTTTGATAGCACATGTAATATAAATGCAACTACGTCAACAACCTAAACAAAGAAACTCATCTAAACACTCACACAAGTTGAATTCCAAGTGTAACAGAGGGGAAATCATGCAAGTATTTCATTCTAAAAAATATATTAAATATTTTTGAAAGCAAAATTGCTACTAGAATATGCTGCTTCACGGTGCAATGCTTAATTAATTGGCATAAAATAATAAAAGAGCCTCATAATTAAATTGCACGTTAATTAAATGTAGTTGTAACAAAGAGGACAAATAAAATCATACATTTTTGACATGCACTGTTATTTATGCTATATTCTGTGATTTGGACCATCCTAAACATTATCTGTAATATTTTTTTAAATTATCACATTTCAAGGTAAAATATATTATTAGGAGACTTTTAAAATTCCAACCCCCCCCCCTTTTCTAAAGTCCAAATAATGTATTGTAACAGAGAGGACAAGAAATGTAACAGACAGAATGTCTAACAAATTTGACAAAAAGTTAAAGGGAAATATCACTGCTAAAAGAGACTCTTCGATTATTTAAAATTGGAGTTGGCAGCACTGCTATAATTGAAACCTGTGCTACATCTTTGTAGTTACAATTGAAAGTTTTTATTTTACCTGATCCTTTTTGAAAAAACAAAAAACAAAAACAGAAAAAATAAGTGCATTGTTTGTTTCTTTCTCAATTTCAGTTATTTGGGCAACGAAATTAAATACCCAATCTTTTCCTAGAAATTTTTATGCTTGCAAAACTATCTATAGCAACATCAAAAGAATCACAGTGTTTTAAATGGTGACTGGTGTGCATTAAATATGCCAGGTCCCAAAGTCCTTCAAGTTCCCAAAACGAATCAGTACCTCTGGGTGTAATGTTTGAAAAGTTCCCTTGTCTTTTGGATTGGGTTCAAAATTACAAGACTACGGAGTTGAACATTGGTAGCAGTAAACTCACATTTGGGTCGGCTGTTCAATGACGATTATAAAATAAAAGTAAAGTGAGTGGTTGTCGTAAGTCGCTATATTTAGTAATTCTATGTAAGTATTAGGCAAACAATGTGATTTTAATAGAAGATTCACATTTTCGTGAATAGCATCTAGACACTTTTTATGGTGTTTTACATACGCATAAAATATGGATAGATCATAGTGCAGCAAAACTTAGATTTGCCAATTTTTATGTTTGGATGCACCTGCTTTGATACTTGATATGCTTCCATCAATGTGCATATTTGGCTTTGTGGACTTTCTGTCTATTTTATTTGACAATCATGCACTCAGTTTTGCGTGAAGTCTGGTAAGAAAGTAGTAATTTTTTTGTTTCATCAGAAAATTTGATACCAGGATATTTCTTTTGTTTTAGTAGTAAGGTTACAGAGTATGCATGGAATAGTACAACGTTTTCTTGGAGATGCAGGTAATGCACAGTTTGCTTTTTTAATAGCTTTCCCCAATGACTAAAGAATATTATAAAGAGAATATCCTTCCTGAATGTTTACTGCTTCTATTAGTGCCTTTTTATTTTTCCTTTGTCTTTTTTTTTTCAATTTATCTATTTCTCTGTTAAGATTTTTTTTCTCAAAATA